ATATATTTTTAATTTTTTTTTTCAATTTTATTTATTATTTATGTTTTGTAACTTTTCACGTTTCAACAACTTTTTCTCACCTTAGTTTGCCGCTAGCCAATTATGGTTCAGCCACAACAAAAGCTGCCCATCGTTCCGCAGCCAACTTACTTTGCTGTAGGTCCCCAGCCGCATGAGGTCACCTGTCCCTATTGTAAGGCGACGGCTAAGACCGTGATGCAGCGTCCAATACTGCGCTGCTTTAGTCGACGTCATTACTGTTCCGAGTGCGGTGAATATTTGGGCACATATCGGCGGCCGCAACTTTGAGTTGATTTCGGGCCATCTATTGGATTGTAAACAACTAAATTTGATATTTATGTCTGTGTGTAACTTTTTATATTTATGTATGTATGTACTTGCATACTTTTAAGTTTTTCTCAATACTTAACACAATTTTCTGAATATACATTTTAAATAATAATGAATAAATGTAAACAAAAATCGCATTTCGAGAATATTTTTGAATTTTAGCCATACTTGCTTGTGTGCGAGTATTTTGTGTTATTCCCCAATTGGTTTTATTTTTGAATTTCCCCATGTTTTTCAATAAAATATACATACTAAATGCATATTATGTGTCGGTTTCATGAAATGTTAGCCGACTGTTAGATATTTTTCAAAATTGCCGATAAAGTGAAATCTTTTAGCGCTTACTGTCGCAATGAAAGCTTTACTGTGTCTGCATGTATGTAATTGAAATTATTTTTTTGCCTTCATAAATAAAGGATTTATTTTTTAATTTTTGGCAGATATCTTGATCCAGTAATGTATTTGGAAATAATCCAACTTAAACTTAAAATTTAGTTTATTGACACACAAAAATATTATTTTCTTTCTTTTCTAAAAGCAATGCACCTGTGAAGGGTATATTAGCTTTGGTGCAGCCGAAGTTAATGTTTATTCTTGTTTCCGATTTGGATCGGTCAGTTTGAATGATAGCCATAATCTATCCTCCTAATGGCCTATCTAAAAAATTTGGATATTGCAGCGATTGGATAATAACCTCTGCCAAATTTCGTGTAGATACCCTGACAGATAATAGAGTTTTCCATTCGAAAAACCGAGAAAGTTTTTGCTTACTTTGAAAGTATAATGTCTTGAGAAGATACTGTGAATATTTCAGATAGAAGTCCGAAATATTTCGTTAGTTATAAGAATTTCCTAGATTCCATTGTTTTTCTTTAATAAAATAAAAGGACTTTCTTTCAAAGTCCGCCATTTTGTTATTTACCCTTGAAATTTAACTTCAGTAGTTCCGACCAGAATGATATGCCTATAAATTAAGAATAATCAAGAATATTTGATTTCGGATAACAAAAAGAGCCAAAATCACCCGGCCCCCCCTGGTGCATTTTTTTTTTGACTCTCGAAATAATATTCAAGATAATTCCTTTTTATTTTCCTATAAAACCACTCTGCAAAGAAGTCATGAACCTTAAGTTTTATCGGTCAGTTGTAGCAGTTTCTTGGTAGCAAAAGGGTAGGTGGAAATTTTCATATCGATTTCTCATTAACTGAAAGACTAGCATATACAATCAGAGAGACAGACATCCGGAAATTGTAACTGTATTCTCCGAATAAATGATACTTCGAAAATATGTGTTTTGGTAAGTTGGTAGGAGTATCGTTTATTACTGATGCAATCTGTCAAACAGTCTGCTTAAGGGAGCCTGCTATAAAGCTTCAAAAACTCGATTTTTTTTTGTTCTTAAATCTATCTCTAAATCTCCTTAAACATTGTCTCAGAAGATGTCTCCAAAGTTATAGATGGGAAATCGAAATATTGATCGAGTGCCTAGCATAAATACGCAGAAAGTGAAAAGTTTGACACGCGATTTCTCCGTTTTTAATTTTTACGATTTTTCTTAATTGCCCGACAGGATATAAAAAAACTAAATGTCGTGTGAATTTGGAGCAAAGTATTATCTTTGGCATTAAATTATCTTCTGTTTGAACTAAAAAAAACTTACAAAAGTCTAGTTGGAATATAAAGTAAAATTCTTGTTAAAAAACACTTTTTTCAATTAAAAAAAAATTGTAGAGTTTTGCGCATTTTTTTTTAATTTTTAGTTTTACTAGAAGATAAGTTATTAACATATATGAATCTCTTTGATTGTGTTATTTCCGATAGAAAATGCGACCAGCATCTTGCAAATGCACATGCGAGATGCATCGGGCAATTGCTTCCCAAAGGCAGAATATCAAAGATTTCATATCCAAAAAA